AGGAGAACTTGCATTTAAGGGTGACTTCTGGATTATCTTAATGGAGTTCTAAGTTTCAGTCCTGGTCTTCAACTAATAAACCAGCAGCCATGGCTCTGATTTATAGGACTGTCCCATGGGGTGGGCACTGGGCCAGCATTTCCACATGTTTCCACATGCTTTCACCTTTCCTTCTAGGAAATAGGCTGTTAGGAGGCAGACCCATAGTCTTCTAACAGTTTCTGTGAACTTAATATAATGATTTTGTTGTAGAAAAAAATTACAAGAGTCTTTTCTGTTAGGTATGTGAGCACAATAAACCTTTCTAAGAGGGCACCTGTGCAATTCCTCAGCATGAGAGATGGAAATTTGAAGCTTTGTACGATAGCAGCGGTGGTAGCAGCAGCCTGAGAAAAACTCAGACTAACCTGCGTTAAGCTCCAAATGTGACGTACATTAGAAGTGGGAGCATCTGATGGTGCCTAGTGAGGAATTCTCTCCCACTTGTTGTAAATCCTGGAGCCTTTACAATCTAGCCTACCATGAAGGAGGAAGTGTTTCTGACCATATCTTGGAGAAATCACATGTTGTGTTTATGTGAGGCTAACAAATAAACACAGATATGTGCTCCCTCTGCTGGGAGCAATATTAAAGCAGAAGGGACCACAAACAGTGCTGGCATCTTTAGAAGTCAATTCTCGTATATGGAGAAGAAAACCCCTCATTTTTCTTGATTTTAGACATCCTTTGAGAAATAAATTCATCTTTATCAACTTCTGGCCAAAGCACTTGGAAATTCTTAAAACAGGTATTAAATCAGACATATTTATAATCCTCAATTGCCAAATCGTTAGCTGTAATTGTAATAGTGATGTGGGGATCATTTATCAATAGATACAAGTGGGTTCCTCCAAGATTTTAAGGTCTAGACACAATCTTTAAAGCAGTTCTGGAAAAAATAATCTCAAGTCCAAGCTAAAGTTTCTTTTTTCTCCTTTGTTTTATAAGAGTAGCTTCCAAAACAGTAAAGATTTACACTATTTATATCTTTTCTGATAGTGTCAAGTGTTATACTTGATTTTCCAAATCATTAGCATGCAGAAGAATGACCTCATGGTGAACAGATGCACTTGGCTGTGAGCTGCAGTGATTACATCAGTCCCTCCCAGCAGTCGAGGGTGCCCATTCCAGTTAACCCTTTGAAGGCCTCTCTGCTGGCCCCCCTTCCTTGGAAACGTGCTTAGACGTACAAACTTAGTTCCTCCCCGCAATGTGTGTGTGAAATGCACATAAGCACATGCATAAAATATATATACACAAACACACACGCATGTGTGTTAACTGCAGTCGATATTTTAACACTGGCTACCGCTTAGAAAATTGCTGGTCAATAAGGAAGGAATAAAAGGAATGCAAATTACAGAGCTAGGTTAAAAAGCAGCTCAAATACCCATTAGAGAGTGGGTATTACCAAAACAAGTAATGGGCGGAATAGATATGAGGTAGGTGGTATTTTAAAACAACATTTTTGGACTGGAAAAACTTTTTTTTTTTTTTAAAAAAAACTTCTTAAAAATAAAGCTGAGCACTCACCTATTAGCCAAACAACAAAAGACCCCACGTAGCATCTGTGATGGATGGTGAATCATGAATAGAGGCACATTTACTTGGCCACTGTGACCATCAATGGCTGCCTTGGGTGACAAGCAGCAGCCCTGGGGCAGGAGAATCTGAGGAGAGGGCATTTTCCAACGGTGGCCTCTTTGGGCACAGGCCACTTCCACTTAGTACATCTCTTACAGCACAAACTTAAAGGCTGACATTAGAGTCCTTCCCTTTAGAAATACAGGCTGATGGCTGCTACTAATCCAGTGTGGAATGAATCCAGGTTATTTTCCCTCTATGTTAACAACAGAGTCCCTTGTAGCAAGGATACAAAGAAAACCTGAGAGCTCCTAATTCCTCAGATTGTGCATATGCATGTGAGCAGGAGCCCAAGGCCTGGCTTTGATGACACTGCTGGTCAGGATGGTCTTATTGGGTCCTAAGTGCACTGTGGGAGCTTAAGCCACTCACTTGGGGTCAATTTTTCCAGTTGGCTTATTTTGGGAAGAGTAGACTTCACCTCAATTTCTTAGTTTAAGCTGGTTGGTTCATCTGGGTTTGATTACATTTGTCCCAAGATAATAAAAAACACTGTGAATAAGTGAAAAGTGTATTCATCTGTAAAAGTGGTAATAAACAGGGGTAGGAATTCCTCAAAAGCAGAACTCGAAGGCACATGGGAAGGGGATGTGGTTCTGAAAATGCACCTGTACGTGGTATGGCAATACTCCATCCTTACTGCACTTCTTCTAAATTTTGGTTCAAATGAAATTCATTTCTAGTTCCTTCTTAATCATTGTGGTGGGCAGATATGCAAAGTATTAAAAGAAAACATTATGTCCAAATTTAAATTGTATTCATGGATTGGTGTGATATATCTATATAAAAATTTTTATCACTCCACACCAAATACTCTAAACCCCAAACATTATGAAATGTGACACTGATGTCAATAACTTGAAAAGAGAAAAGGAACAGCATTTGTCTTGATATCTTATCCTTGGTTTCATGTTCCTTTGGTACAGGTTCCAATGCCCACTCTTAAGAGCTGCCAGAATCTTTATCTGTTAAGTGACTTTGGCAAATGCGATGCTCTTGGAGAAGCTTGTCAGCAATCATCTTCAAACTGCGGGTCTTAAAAAACCCAAATTACTCCTAGAGTCTCACTTAAGATGTTACCTACACACTGACTTGTTTCAATTGATTTAGATAATCATAAACTTTTGGAAAAAATCAAATGAATTTATATAGAGGCTAAAATATACCTAGAAAATAAAGTTCATCAATATTTGTTTCAATAATCAAGAGCCTTAAGAATTTAACAGTTGAGTTGATGAATGTGAACATCGAGTTATTTTATTTCTTTTTTTAAAAATACATTTTATTTATTTATTTTTAGAGAAAGGGGAAGAGAAGGAGAAAGAGGAGAGAAACAACAATGCGTGCTTGCCTCTTGTGTGCCCCCTACTGGGGACCTGGCCTGCAACCCAGGCATGTGCCCTATACTGGGAATTGAACTGGTGACCCTTTGGTTTGCAGGCTGGCACACAGTCCACAGAGCCACATCAGCCAGGGCTAGTTATTATTTAATTTCTTTCATTTTTAAGAAACAAAAAGCTTTCTCAAGACTTAAAAGAAACAAAACAGCCTTGGCTGGCTCAGTGGGTGGAACACCAGCTTGCGAATCTTTCAACCAAAGGGTCACTGGTTCCACTCCTGGTCAGGGCACATGCCGGGGTTGCAGGCCAGGTTCCCAGTTGGGGGTGTGTGAGAGGCAACAGATCAATGTTTCTCTTCTTCTCTTTATCCCTCCCCTCTCCTCTCTCTAAGAAATAAAGTCTTTAAAAAACAAGCAGGCAAAAAAAAGCACTAAAAAATTTTAAGTTCCAAAACATGAGGGTGGAAAAATCAGAATGTATCTTTTTAAAAATTCCCTTTGCTCTAGATCTTTCATATGCTTTAACCAAAAATTAGAAACAATTTTAAACCTCTGCCTAGACTAGATACAAAATCTTTATTTCTCTTGAAACTGATCATACTTTTTTTTTGTTTTAGATAGAATATTGGCAGAGTGTATGAAAGAATTCAATTCCCAGCTGTTCTACTTTTTTTAATGTAGGAAACATTAATCAAAGCTTTAAGTTATAAGCTTTTCTCATGTTGTTTTGTATTCCAGTTCAACAAAGATCAATAGAGGCCATCCCTGTGTTTCTTGACGCCTCACCAGGAAGCAGAGGTGTGATTATGTAAATTGTGTGGCTCTTGTACCACAGCCAGCTTGCTTATCTCCCAGGCCTTCTGCCTGATGCTGCTGGCTCCCTGTGCAAGTGCAAGCCTCTTCCTCTTATCTCCCAACAAAGCTGGGAGAAGCAAGGATTGAAGCCAGCTATGTTAAACAATGATGCATGGCTGATTTTATTTGTAAGTGATTTATTTCACTGAATTTAATTTTTTTCACTTTGTGTGTAAGATATTTCTTAACAAGTCAGAAAAGGACAAGTAAGGTGGTATTCAGAGACAATTGACATAGGTTAGAAATCTGTTAAGCACTCTAACAGTTGTGTCTGCACTACTGGAAGAAGTCTTTCATTGAGAATTTCAACATGCATTGACCAAATATCCCATTTGCTTTCTGAAAGGCAATTAATCTGTAATTGCAGGCAGAAATTTATAAATAATGCTTTCTTTGAAAACCAAACCCCATAGTAATCATACAATCAACTTAAGTGGCAGTACATATTTTTTCCCCCAAATTCTTAATGTAAAAAGAATAAAACCTAAAAACAAGAATATTCATGGAAATTTCTGAAATTTTCCATTTGCCTAATAAATGAGTATGATCGTGAACCAGTTTCTAAACAGGTTTCACACCAGGTGCTGCTCTGGTTGGCGGCTGGTCCATTTGACACAGGCCATTCCAGAGAGAAAGCTCGCATGCTGCTCTGCTGTAATGATGGACCCGGGACACTGTCCTTCCATTTCTCCTGCATTAATCCCTGACCTGAGTATCTGGGCAGCATAATCCCCATTTAGCATTAATATCAACGGCTTTGACTGTGAGGAACTCTTTTTTTTGATAAGTAAGTACTGATTCAGGCATCGCTTTTACACAATGTATTCCCAGCTCAGCAAGAAACCCACACTCCTGAATGAACCAGAGCACATTACTGAGAAAAAGTTCATTAACCTTGCTAGATCGGGAGGTTAACAGGATAGCTGAAGAAAAGAACTGAGTGAACAGCTCGGATACAAAACAAATTAAAATGAATGTCATCACTCCTTTTGATATTCATTAGTTGATTCAGAGTGAGAATGCTCTTCTTAAATTTGCAAGCATTTATCTGTGAAAAACAGGTGTACATCTGCTGCTTGAGTGTGCCTTAAGCGCGTGAGGGAAGAATAATGTAGACACTCACCCGTTCCACTGAGGGAGTAGCTTGGAGATGGAGAAAAGACTTGGGCTGCAAAATCCTCAAACGTCATTACTTCACGGTGGTTCTGAATTATTGCTTCAAGATACAGGGCTCGCTCTTCATAGCTGCGGTAATCAGTTAAGGAAACAAGTGTATGTGCAGAATGACACACATAACAACAATGTAGTTTATTTTATATACAGTTATGCAACTTTACATTGTGTGTAGGGGAAATTACCTTGCAAGTTCATTAACATCTGTCAGAAAATTAAATATTAGTCATAATTAATAACAACATTCTTATTTTGAGACCTAAGTTTCTCTTAGATTTTAATTGCATCTAACAGTACTAGTATCAACAAAAAATATGTACACACAGTTAGAGAATCACATCAAAAGATCATCAAGATTGAGTCAAACAAACAAGAACAGAGACACTGATTATGACAGCATCTCTTTTTTCCCTTTTTTGAACTTGGGGTAACACTGGTTAACAAAATTATACAGGTTTCAGGTGCACAATTCTATAACACATCATCTGTACACTGTACTGTGTGTTCACCACCCCAAGTCAAGTCTCTGTCCATCATCATTTATCCCTCCCATATGCTCCACCCACCTCCCTCCACCCCCATTCCCTCCACCAGCAATCCCTCCCCCAGCAATCACCACACTGTTGTCTGTGTCCACAAATATATTTTCCTTCACTCTTTTTTTTTTGCTTAGTCTCTCCACCTCTCCCAACAGCAGTCAGCTTGCTCTATCTATGAGGCTGTCATTATTTTACTTTTCAGTTCATCTTGTTCACTAGATTCCACGTATGTGTGAAATCATATGGTGTTTGTCTTTCTCTGAGTGGCTTATTACACTTAGCATAATGCTCTCCAGGTCCATCCATGCTGTCACAAAAGGGAAGATTTCCTTCTTTTTTATGGCTGAGTCATATTCCATTGTGTAAATGTACCACAGCCTTTTAATGTACTTATTTACTGGTGGACACTTGGGCTGCATCCAAATCTTGGCTATTGTAAATAACTATGAAAGCATCTCTTTCCACTGACAGCTGTGGGACAATACTGGATCTTCCTTTCCTAGTTCATTGATAAAATGTTATTTTCAGCTTAGTGGGCAAAATGATTTAATACTTTAAGCAAGAATCAGTGATAAGATGGTGGCACATACTTTTAAAAATATGCAAATGAATGTTACTGGGAAAAGGAAAGGCCAGTAGATATGCTTTGAAGGGGTACCCGAGCCAAAAGCCAAGATAGGCTATGAACATTAGAATGTAGGAACTAATAAGTTGGAGAATCTAACAGAGAATGCACAAGGCAGTAATTTAAAAAAAAAAAAGACTGCTGCCTTTTAATTAAAACTGTAGTCTGGAACACACACACATTCAAATGCGCAATCAAAAACCAGTCACCAATAAAACTTACAAGCGTAAAACGCTGAAGCAACTTTCCAGCTGTCTTAATAGGACCCCTGTGTGTGGCCGCCTTTCACAGGGCAGAAAGCAAATCTTCCCCTTTTGTGTGCGGCTTCTGTTTCCTCAGAAGGTGAATCATGCACTTCCAATAACAGGACAGCATCAGAACAATTCGGCAGTGGATGGGGCCACCACATGTATGACTTTATGAATTAACACTTGGGGAAGTCGGCATGATGTCTCATTTTCCCCTTCCGCATCAATACCAAAGTTAAAAGATGTGTTTTAGTTATTTTGAAAATTATGCTAATTTTCCAGAAACATTTAAAATGTGGATCACCATCATTTTGTCATCTGTAGTGCCACAAGAACAAAAGTAATTCTAGCATTTCTCATTGTATTTTCAAAATGGCCTCTTTAAAAATGTAAGTTTTGAAAATTGTGCCCTTCTAATCAGCTTTCGATAGAGCATGTGTTTTAAAATAGGAAAATATTTTTCTGTTTTATTTTGGCAAAATATGCACACCGGTTTCTCATTGCAGGTTATTCTTCCACATTCTCCTTCATTTATATTCAGAGGAAGATTTTCACACCATGAGGAGACCAGAGGCATTCTAGGGCTGTGCAGCTATAAGTCATATGTGTCCGTCTAGATTTAAATTTAAATTAACTAAAATAAAAGAAATAGAAATTTAGTTCCTCTGTCCCACTAGCTGTATTTCAAGCACCCCAAAAGCCAGATGTGGCTAGGGGTTACCATACTGAACTGCAGACAGAACATGCCCATCATCATGGAAAGAGCTGCTAGACAGCACTATTCCAGAATTTCTCCTTAGGTTTACTCTGTGCAACTTTAAAAAAGGAAAATGAATTTCAATATTTCAAAAGCGGCCCCTTGATGATTTATGATCTCTTATATAGATGGTTATAACAGTCCAAGGCCTGGGCAGCATGAGCTTGAATTGGCTTCTCGACTGCAGGCTGAGCTCCTGGTGACTCTTCTTTAACTAATGAACAGACTGCCAAACTTCCTCAGCAAGAGGCGCCCGCTCAGGCCCAATTCTAGAGGGATCCACTGATGCCATTCATGTTTCATTATGAACATGCTTATTCTGCACAACACTTGGCTGTTGCCACGACTCGGTCCTCCATGCGTGGCCCCAGCAAGCCGCTGGTCTGCGAGAACAGCAGGATGTTAGGCCTGAGTGGCCGTCTGGTGAACAGGCACTCTGACACTAAGCTGGCACGTGCTGGCCCAGCAGGAGCCGAGTGAGGCGTGACAAATTACTCAAAGAGCTAAGCTAAACTTATGGCTGACAACCACCTGAGCCTTCGGACAGCCATGGCTTGCTGTCAACGCTCAATTCATGGAGCCTCTTTTCAGTCCACAGTTTGCTTGTGGGCTTGGGTTAGAGCAGGTGCGTCCCTCTAAAAACCTGTCATGCTCTGCCTAGAATCATCCTGCTGTTTCCTGAAAGGCCCCATTGCATCCAACACATCTACATACAGTGCTCAGGACAATGGTGAACAAAATAAAATGCGAATGCATTTTGCTAAATATGCTATCTAGAAGAGTGTATGCTATGTTAACCAAGCTCACAGTCAAATCTACAAAGGGATGCTGTGTATAATACCATATAAACTGACCCCAGACAGCAGCCTGTCATCCTCATCCTGCATGACACTATCCTATTTTCATAAGCATGTCCTTGTCAAGGCTGAGAGATCTGGGCTCCTAAGAGCAAGTCCAGCATCAGAGTTCCAGAGGGTAATGATCAAGCTGTGAGATTATCTGATTCAATGAATATTTATGGTCTGATTTCTACAGTAAAGCACTATGGGAGACAGCACAAAAAACTGCTTCTGGAACTGGATAACTAGAGAATGTTTTCTTCATAGAAGGTTCCTGATCTTACCATTTATGTCCCCAACTGTCACAAGCAGCACACACTTCCCCACCCCAAGACTGGTCCTATGTTGCTGCAGGAGTATTAACAGCACTGAACTGGGTGTTGTCATCTACACAAATGTTCACTACAGACTGGGGTGAGACCAGGAGATCATCAAATGCATTTTTACTCATGGCCCAAGCCAGGGCATATAAACACCATGACAAAGAGAAAACAAACATTGCCCCAACTCTGGCAGTGTTTAGAGACAGCCATGGGAGCTCATGGGTGCCAAAAAACATGATTTCTTTTAGAAGTTTCAAAAAACATAGCTCTGGGATCTTAACTGAATTTATTAGTGAAACTACTAGCAAGGGAAATTAGGAGCAGTATCACCTGACATCTTCTTATGTAAAATTCTTAGGGCTTCCAAGCTGGTTGTCTTCTATTTTTTAAAAAAGGTATTTTTAACTCACATACCAAAATGCTTATAAGGATCTTCTCACATGCAAGATGTTAAGAGGTAAACTGGATGCTGGAATAATGTCGGGCAGTGGATGGCCAGTGACTTTGACTGAAAGCAGGTGGCTAGACAGGCACTTGGTCACAAATCCAATTCCTGTTTCAATACTAACTATTGCCCTTCTCTTAAAAAAAAACCCTACTAACATGTGAAACTTAAATTCTGTTCTGTTCTATCGCATTAAAAACCATAGTAAAGTACTTTCTCAGAGAGCAATTTCCCCCTTAACTACTCAATTCCGAGAGTATTCAACCTAATAACTAGAAACCCATCTTGATTTGTTTTTTTTGTTTTGAGTTTTTTTAGTGATCCATTCTGTCTACATAGCACATAGAATTTTTTTCAATTACCAACATTCCTCTTCTTGAATAAAGAGGCCTTCTGTATTTACTGGTTACATTTTATCAAAACTTCCAAGAGAACTTTCTGAGACCCTCAAGTCATACTCTGCTGCGTTACAAGAGCCTGAGAATCCAAAACCCCAAGTCCCCAATTTTATTCTGATTATAATGTTTTAATTTTTAGAAATGGCAGTAGCAGCAGCAGGACATGAAGGAGCTTGCTTTTTGGAGAAAGACAGGTCTAGGTCTGAATACCAGTCCTCTTCCTCACCATATGGGGGACCCAGGGCCAGGTGCTCCAACCCCCCAGCATCGGTTTTCTTGTGTGTAAAGTGGGGACAATGACATCTGCTCTCGGGGCTGCTGGGAAGATTAAAAGAATCATATGAAGCATTGACCCTGGTTCCAGTACACAAGAGAAGCATGATAAATGTGGACTGCCTGCTCCTCCCAACCCCTTTCATGTGGGCTTGTGAGTCAATCTTCCAGAAAGAACATATAAGCTAAAGGGTATGTCTGTGTCAGGTACTACCATAAGCATGTCTCATTTATACATGGGAGCCTCATGAGCTGGAGCAAGTCCTGTGGTCTCCATGTTACCAATAAGGAAATGGAAGTTCAAAGAGTTCAAGTGATTTGCTAGCATCACACACCGTTAGTGGTGCAACTGGGACTAGAACCCAGATGTTCTTACCTTTATTGCTTTCACCTCATATCTAGAATTCTAAGATACATAGAATTAATTTCAAGATTTCATGCAAGGTTGGGAGCTAAACTCCTAATGAGGATAAATCAATTGACTTAAATATACATGGGTATAAAAATCAACCTGCAACTTAAACTTGAGTACTTAAACTTGAATAGCTTTAAGCTGCCTCTATACTTATAGACCATGGGGACTTTATACATTTGTGAAAATAACAATTACTTCATTTTAATTTCT